TTTGTAAGACATTAAGACATGACCCAAATAATAGCATAATCTTGAGTAGTCGTGCATTAATATACAGGGATATATTTAAATAAAATATTAGAAATTAGCACAATTAATGCTATAATATTGTGCGATCGCGGACAATTAATCAAGAGATTGGCAAATATGAAGAAACACTTTTCTGATTTACGTAAAGCATTGGAACTTGTTCCAAATAATGTCATGATACTAATAATTGCGGATTAACATATATGTATATAGGCAGATGCGAAGAATCACTTGAATGTTTAAGTAAATCGTTAGAAATCATCCCGAATGATGCTACAGTATTGAATGATCGTGGAAAATTATATAAGGTTGGCGATATGAAGAATCGCTTTCTGATTTATGTAAAGCATTAGAGATCGATCCAAATTTAGCGGTTACTTTAAAATTCGTGGTTATTTTACATGAATATGGGTGAATACGAAGAATCACTTGTAGATTTTAATAAATCATAATAAATTAAACCCAACGATGCAACGATAATAAATAATCGTGGGGCAATGTATTGGTTTATGGGCAAATATAATGAATCACTTGCAGATTTAAATAAATCATTAAAGATTGAACCAAATAATGCACTTTATTTACTTGATCTAAATAGAGAACTAGGAATTAAATCGAATAAAAAAAATAACTAAAATATGGATCGGAATTGTAAACAATATAATACTGGTTTTGAGTTTTGTCATTCATGTGACACACTAGTGGAAATAAAGAGAATGATGATTTTATCGGGGAAACACAAAAAAACTCGGAGTATTAGAATAAAATGATTGAATGGATACACTTTGACAAAGTTAAAAGATATCAAACAAATTGGTAAAGGGGTTTTAGTACGATCTATTTTGCAATTTGGATTGATGTTAAGAGAACCTATAGAGTGAATAAAAAGGCGAGGTCATCGCGTGAAACGTCATGTATGGTTGCCCTTAACTGAAAATCTAAATGATTTTTTAAGAGGTAAAAAAATGAAAATTATTAAATAACATGATTGACTTTGAAAAATCTAATTGTATCTATTCAAGTTTAAATCACATTACGAATGCTAACTCAAAAAATATTGCGTGGAAAGATATGGAATTGCATTACGTATCGTATGATCCTTCGAAGAACCAATATATGATGGTTTTAGAATATGCGGATGAAGGAGATCTTAGATGTTATCTTAAAAAAAATTTGAAACTCTTGCCTGGAAAAAAATAAAAATTCTTCGCTCAATATCAGATAATTTAAGTCATATTCATCAAAGCTATACTCACAGAGATTTTCATAGCGGAAATATACTCATGCTCAAAACAGATGATTTTATACCACATATTTATATTATATACGGAATGTAGTAATATTTCAAGAGGTAAATTGAACATGGAACCAAAAAAATTTCTAATTTAGGATTGTCTAGAAAAATCAATAACACTGAGAAAAATACATATGGTGTAATGCCTTACTTAGCACCTGAAATTTTTTTTAAATAAACCATATACAAAAACCTCAGAGATTTATATTTGGTGTATTTATGTCAGAAATATAAACAGGTCAAAAACCTTTTATAAATAAAGATGATGATTCCCATTTGGTAGTGGAAATAATTAATGGATTACGACCAGAAATTGCATCTGGAACACCAGATTTTTACATAAAACTCGTGAATGAACGCAATCCAGAAAAACGACCCATCCCCCTTTCGTCATTAATTTGATGTTCATAAATTTCCAAAGTATTTGGAACAGAGTTTTTACAAAGTGATATCAATAATAATTTCATATTCAACGAAGTTGAGGTGGTATCTTCTTCGAAGTTTTTTCCTAATCCATATATTGCCTTAGATGCAACAACAGTCTTGGCACCATACCGAATATAAAAATCTACAGAGTTAATTGTAGTGTTATTCAGCATTTTATGATCACAAATTAGATCCTTAAGATATAAATGTTTAAGAATTTCGCAACTTCGTAAAATCATTTTGATTAGGGAACCTTTGATCGCATTTTCAAGCTTATCTCTTTCATTAATACCATAATCGGAAAGCCACTCTCTACCATCGTATAAATCGGTTGTAACTGGAGTAATAAAATTTGTATACTCAAACAGTGGACTTGCTTGACTCAGAATAGTAAAGTTAAAATATTCAAGAGGTAACGGTAACGCTTCCATGTTAGAAGTTTGGGGAAAAGACATTACGTACATTTGCATTAACTTATAGAAAAAATCCAACTTTTTTATTAACCCCTGATGATGCCATAATGACGCAATTAAAATATCAAAATTGAAAAGGACAGTACATAATTACGTAATTGTATAGTTAACAATATAAAAGCATACGTGTTAACAATACAGCAATATAAAAGCATACGTATTAGAGTTGTGTACAGTGTATATCGGTATTGATTTATATTTTTTTTAATCATAATATGGCTGCTAAAAAATATCTTGTTGACATTTGCTACGGATGTGCTAAGTGTCTTTTACTGTAAACAAAATACTGCACTTTCATGACAATGTGACAAGAAAGATTACCAACACATCAAAATCGAACGTATAAACACACATTTACTATTAATCAAAGAGAAGTTTTTTTTTAGAAAGTTTAAACATCAAGTTTAATTATAATTCTAAATTTACCAAAAATTTCAAAATTTCATTCTGTCTATCTTGCAATAGCCAATAATATCAAATTAACCGAATTACATCTAAAGCTAAAAACGGTGATGATAATAAATCCAATAGTGATGATGATAATTTTAATGAATTCGATAATAATAGTGTTGAATATAAATAACAATAATAATATTACGCCTATTACTATCGATGATTGTCCATCGCAAAGGTTTCCGTGCTATCTCAATGAGAGTAGTCAGAATGAAATTTTGAAATTTTTGGTAAAT